TGACATTTATTATATTTTATATTATAGCCGGTTTATCTTATTTGTTAATAATATATCATTGTATAAAAAAATAAACCCCTTGTAAATTTTGAAAATTTTAATGATAAACTCCTTTTATATTAATATAGACCAATCATACTCTTAAATTTTCAAAACTTTGTTCCATATCTTCTGGGTGCAAAAATTTTTTGGGCCAATTTATTCTTATTTATTACCAATAGGAACAAATTAAAGCAAAACAGATTAAATGATTATTTATTATCATATCATAATAATCTGCATCAATATTGGTAGAATCAATATAATATGTGATTATCACACAATTGAAATATGCATTAACAAAAACTTCACTCTTCCAGACTTCTAGAAGAACAACAAAAATTCGTGACAAACCATTTTGTATTATAATTTTTTTAAATTTTAAATTTCTTTATATTTTAGTTATTTAAAGTTCTAATCATTTCAAATATCTAGTTCTTCTCACATTTTTATTTTTGATACCTTTATGTTTTTCATATATTTTCTCATCTCTTGTTATTGTCTCTTGTTGATTGAAAAATAAAAATAAACACATCACTCTTTATTTTCTGTTTTTGTTTTAAATATCAACTCACATATCTTTTTTATTTAAATTTTTTTATACTATCCAAACATAAGATTTGAAATGACAAAAAAAATTACAATAAAAGATTCAAAAATTACAAATAAAGACCTAAAAAATTACCAAAAATTTAGTTATTTTCTGTAAGTTTTGAGGTTAATTAACTGTTAAAGTTAACTTTTGTTAATGAAAAGAGTCAAATCATAGCATTTGCAAAAGTTGAGAAAAAAATTTGTACAATAAATAAGTTTAGAGTTTATGGTGATACTAGATATAAAATTTGGGGGGTAATTTGCTCATTTATTATATATATTTTTATTACTAATATTAATTTTGTTTTGTTCAGATTTATTTTATGTTTTTTCGGTAACCACCCGTTGACAGGCTGTGTCTCAATTGGATGATTTATTTAATTCCCATAATGTGATTTTTATGGGAGATTATAGTTAATATATTAGTGCTAATAATACTCAGTAGGTTCATCGTTTTACATTTTATATTGAGGAACGATAACCGTTAGGCCTTCGTCATTACTCTAAAAAAAAAATGTAGTCACGAAATAAATGTAAGTGGCAGGAAAACGATAGAAAAATAGAAAATGTAGTAGTGGGTTGACAATTTCAAGAGGGCAGCAAGAGTTATCTTTCCAATAGGGAGAAATTAAAGCAAAAAACAGATTAAATGACTTTACTATTATCATATAATTATAGTCTGCATCAATATTTGGTAGAGTTCACATAATATTGTGATTATCACACAATTAAAATATGCATTAAACAAAAACTTCTCGCATCCCAAAGGTTGCATTACAGATGTGAATTGGATTAATTAAATCACTAACCGCTAATGATAACAAAGAAGATCTGGACAGAAATCAAGAGGTGTTTGGTTCAACAAGTAATTGAAAAAGTTGAATTAACTTATCCTAATGTCTTAAGTTCATGAATCCTAAAATACATTGTTGTATTGAATAAAAATGTCAAAAGTATCTTCAAGATACTGTGATATTGCCATTTATAATAATGGTCCCACCTCCAAGTTTTTCAAGATATATATTGATGAAATAAAAAAAAAATGGACACAAGGTTTTGTTTCTAATAATTATGTAGAACTATTGATTGAAAGTCTATCTTGTTTACATGGATTAGTAAATGATGACTTTCATACTAAATGAGGCATAAAGTCTTTATTTATTTTGAGGTCGATTTTTTATAATTGGGGACATGTTTTCCATGTCATGAAATATATCTAACCTCAAATAATATAGACTCAAAATATACAAAAGTTTATTAAATTTTGAGACAATTGCACAAAATCTTTTCATTTTTAAAAGTTTAAAATTAACATGATTAACCTTTTATTTTTTTGACACATATTTTTCTACTGTTATTTTTTATTTATTCTTATCAGCAAAAGTTTCCATGTCGTATTAATAAAAGACATTTAGAGTTTATCTGGAATCTAATATAAGTGACTGATAATAGAGAAATATGGATAAAATTTTATAAAACTATCATTAACTTATAGTATTGGATTGCACAGAGGAGTAAGATGTCAAATCCTAATTTTTAAAACTTTCCTTATGTAATTGGAAGCGATATGGTTCAAACAAAACAGAAATTGAAGCGTATAAATTAAATTTCACAAATTATTCACCGGATTACTGCTTATTTGGTAAGTCTAGAATTTTTACTAAATTTTAAAAATTCATAACTAAATGTATAAAATTTATATGAGGATGCTTTAAAATTCTCTTGAAAGATATTAAAGTCATTTAAGTGATAAAAATATGTTTTCAACCCTTTTTCATTTCAAATAGTATAGTTTATTCATTTTTTCAAATCTGCTCTGTATCTTTGGCAAAATATGAGCCATAATTTGAAAAATTCATAACTCAAGTTGTACATGTCCCAATGATCTAGTTTAGGACTTTTTAGAAATTTCTATGTGTCTAGTTTTACTATAAAAATTATTATGAGCATTGGATATGGGTTACTATATGTTAAATAATAAAACAATAACCCTCCTCTGAAAAAGAGCCTAAGCTGGACAATCCCAATCATGCATATTAAAATCATGATTTCAAGGCTAGTTTAGGACTCTAAATTGGCCATCATACATCATCGTATATCATTTATACATATCAAAGCCTCATCATAAATTTACATAGCTTATAAGCTTATTTATACAATTCTCATTTATATCAAAGTAATGCCATAGGAAAAATTATTTTTCCTAATCTACTTACCTTTACTTCTTGCTCTAGCTCTGCCTTTGGAGGCTTATAACCTAACATAGTCAATGGGGGTGAAATTTGAGAGAACCTCAGTAGTAAACAATACCATTCAAACATAAAAGGAAAAAGTTTCATACATAACATACTTGCATTATGTGACCTTAAAACTAACATATTGACATGTTACATGCTCATACATCATACATAGAACCCTGGAACACTTAAAAATAGAGTTTCAAACATTCATTCATGATCCAGAGAATTAAAGAAACTAATCACACATATCATCATACAAGTATAAATAACAAGCATACAATGAAAGGTAAGTTTACTAGTTAGTAAAAAGTTAATTTCCCAATAAAAGAATGAATGCTATACAAGAATTTTTCAGCTCATATTAACATAGATTTATAATAGAGTAAAATATGAACTTTAACCACGTTAGAAAATCAACCATGAATTTGCAACATAATATGGGTCAAGATTGTAATCTTTAATGGTAGAAGACTCAAAAGAATGGTCCAATAAAAAGGCAAGTGAAACATATGGTTAGTCAAGCAAATCTGAATACTCACATGATTTCATTATGATGTTAGAAATGACTTAATCAAGCAGATCATGGTTAAGTATTTCATTTACATTTAAATTATATCTATTACAAAATAAAGTGATTCTGGACAAAATGATTGCATTTTGTATGCATATGACAAAATGGGAAGCTTACATATATGTCAAAACAAGCCATCTAAAATATAGTTCACATATATTTATTTGACTAAACAAGATCAACAAAAATGTATGTACTACACTTTTATAGTTCTTGTACAATTCCTCCATTCCAATAGCAACATTAAAAGGTAGGGATCTTGCTTCTGCTTCTCTCTTCATTCTCAACAGAAGTTATACAAAAATGCAAGAAACATTCAACAGTAGAACAACTTTTTAAGATTTGATGTAAAATCTATGCTAGAAAATAAGAGTACTATAAGAACTGAAATTTTACATAAAATGTGCCTTAAAGTATTAAATTTAGTAAACGGCTATATTTAATAATAAGACCATTCTTCTAATCTTTAAACAATATATCAGAAGATTTTCTAGTTTCAGAACCATTACCTTAAACTTTGTATTGTAAAGCAATCTCCATTGTGTAATTTACTTTTAGTTTTGCTCCGGACAATAAAATCACGTGGCAACTATATCAGAAATAGATGATTTACAATTATATCAGAAATAGATGGTTTACAATTTACAGTTATATCATGATTGTTAAACTAATTAAAAACCAGGATCAAAACCATAGGAAGAGTAAGCAATAAAGAATAATGTTATAAAAAAATGGCCAATAATTGCACAATGATATTTATGAAATTGTGAAACTATAAAGCAAGATAATTATATCAAGATCTCAGAAATAGATGACTAAATAATAAAATGAGCTGAAAAAAGAAGGAGAACTAGAAACACTTGCCAAATGTCTTTCAAATAACTAAAAAAAGGACAATTACTGTAAAGTCTCAATAAATGGCATAGATTCAATATCATTTGTAAAAGCAAAAAATATACTCCTAAGTGATGAATTGACTAAGATAACATGGATGAAGAAGCATCTCTACTTCACAAAAATCCTTACCCACAGTGCCTCTAAGCTCAATCATACAAACATCTGCTGGTCCTTCCTTCCCATCTACATGAATTACAGTAACTAATTAAATTCAATCTTTTATGGCATATGTGATGTGTGGTACCACCTGTATTAACATTCTAGAAACTTAATAAACTACTCCTCATCCATACAATATGAGTATGCAAGAAATACATAATAGCAATTTCTTTTAAAGATGTTCTCAATTTTGATGAAAATGGTTTATTTTGGGATTAAACATTTATTTAGTGGGATGTTTACAACTAATTATATGGTAAATCACAATTTGAATTCCATCTCGCGAAACATACTAATATATTCACGATTCATAAGTTTGAGTGTTGCTTCCTTGTGCCCAAACCTGTTTTGATTATAGTTCTTACTCCTAGTTAGATTCTTCTAAAAAACTTTGGCATCAAAATCAAAGTCCATAAAATCAAAATAAGATGAAGAATCAGTAAAGCATCGAATAGAGAGAGGCTTCCAGCTTGGGAAAAAACCCATCCTACAGAAGCTCAATGGCGAATGGAGGTTAGTGATGGGGAAGAGATGTTGAATTGGTAGAGAAACACGATCAAGGATACTCGAAAGGAGAACAAAGCAAAATAAAATGGGGAAAGCACTAGCCTATCTGAGACAAAAACACTGTTACCGTATCCATTTTGTTTTCATTCCTATTCTCCACGTGGACCAATTCAAAGGGAGACTGAGAATAATTTAGATTCAGATCACTAAACTTGAAGATTTTTAATGATTTAGCGATGGTATGATCAATAGTAACATCACCCTTGCAGGGAAATCTGTTGAAGAAGCTAGAGTAGCCACCATCGTTACTAGAGTAGGAGTCATCTTTGTGGTGGTCATCAATGGGATGAGTGAAAGAAGAGTTGAAATTCAACTCCTCATCGTTGAGAGTGAAGGTGTAACATCCTAAAAAATTTAACATAAGGTTAACTAGGTTATTAAAGATAAATTAAAAAGTGAGAGTTAACTTGGATTAAAAGATAATGTATGGATGACTAATGGGTCTATCGGACCTTAATTAATGCTTAGAATTGGACTCTAGGTGGTATTAGGCCCAATTAGATAGACTATGTTCAAAACCTAAATTTTTGATCTTTGGCCATAGCCAAAACTTAATTTTTAAGACTCCAGATTTGCTTTTCAGCTCAAAAAATTAGAGAGTTGAGTGAGAGTCCAAAGGTGAACAAAGAGAGCTTTGCTAGGGTTTGTTGTGAGCATCCAATTGAGTTTATTTAAAGCTTTTAATCACTTGGGTAAGTGCCTACAACCTCTTCTCTTCCTCTCTTGTACATTTTCATCATTGTTTTTAGGTGGTTCTTTAGGAATCCAAAAATAGGTTGTGATTTTGCTTAGAATTCTAACTTCAAAGGGATTAATGGGTGTTTATTTAAGTGTCTAACCTTTGGGTTATGGTGCTAATAAAGTTTTAGGATTTTAAAATGAGGTTTGAATAAACCCTAGAGCTGATTAGTTGAGATAAGAAGGTTATGAGTTATTAATATTGTTGATTAGACTAATGGGAGTTTAAGTAAACTAATGAAATCTAAAAATGAATTTAGTTATGGGTAGATGACCACAATAGGATTTTTGGATTTAGACTTTGATTAGAGTTAATTAAAGATAATTAGTCATTAATGACTATTGATATGTTTGATTATAGATTGACCATGGTTAGTGCTATTGAGCTTATTGGAGGCTCTGTTTGATACTCATGAGTACTCTTGGTTGGTAAACCAAGAGTTAAGGTAACCAAGAATTTAAGTATAGTGTATCATTGTGTTTGCTTTTACACTTTAAGCATTATTATGGATGGCTTGAAATGAGCTTATGAATGAATATGTTGATTTTGAATTATTAATCAAATCTGAAACATGACTCATTATGATAAAGTGTTTGGTAATTATGTTTATATAATATTATTTGGTATTTGAAATATGAATTGTGGGCTTGGATTGGCTATGAGTTGATTATATAACGAGCTATTGTAAACTATAATGTGGTGTAAACTGCGATAAACTTGTAAGTTCTAGAAATTATAAGGATGATGAATTATTATGACATGCATGAGCTTATATTCACATTTATTAATTGAACTTGCATGATCATAATGGGTGGGAGTTCACCCTAACATAATAGAGGGATTATGATAAAAAATCCACGTGGTGTAGCCTTCACCGAGTCAATGATTGGGATACTTTATTACCGTATGTGCTTAGTATTACCAACAACCTACGGGTGCGGCATGGGTTAGGCATGATGCTCAGTATCACTAGTCTTGAATTGGACGGTGTGGGTCAGGCACTTATGACATCTTGAAATTTGAGTAGGGAGAATCCATAGCCCGAGACTGAGTGTGGGAGCCTTTGGCCGGGTGATCATTCACAATTGGAGAGCAAAGCTAGTCTAGTCATATGGGCTAGACCTATATGAGATAACAGCCCATAGATTTAGTCAAATGATATAAGGAGTGGTATAAGGCGGTTGCATTTGATCATGTGAAACACATTATAAAGATGCATTGTGAATAATGTTGGTTTGCCTTATGTGATATTAAACGTTTAATTATTGTGATTGCCACACTTTAATATGCTTGATTAAATTACTTGATTACTAAAATATTTATCTCACTTCCATAATTTAATGTTTACAAGCGATGATCAAGCTAAAGGCAAATGGGAGGCCTATAAAGCTAGAAATTGAGAAATCAATTGTAATGTCTCTAGTTTTATCTTTTATGTGTAATTTGAATATAATACTTGCCAACTAGGGGTCTTTTATATTGATTTATGTTTGTTTGAAGTCTACTTGCATTTGCAGTCTTAACTATTGAATTTAGTCATTTTTTAATTTTCTTAGCCATATAAGGATTCAAACCCCTAATATGACTATGGTAGTATGCTAAGATAGTTTGAAAAATTATATTTTGATAAGTTAGATGAGTTTAACATGTTTTGAGTAATTATTTAGCTTGAATGCAAATAATTACATTTTCACCCTTTATTATGTGCTTTATGGTGGTTGGATAGTCAACTCTTGTATTAAGAGTTTTTTAATGATTGTGACTATTCAGACAAGTGTATTAGGACTTATTGAGTGTGGTTCAAGCTCTTGTGTGGGCTAATGGCTTATGGTTTGAGATTTGGACACTTGGTTGATGGTTTAGAGGTAAAAATCTAAAATTATGGTTCTGGGTATCCAAATTCTTTATCTAATGTCAGATTGACATGAAACTAAAATCATTAGCTAGATTATAAAATTATTGATGCATGGGCACTTGAATCACCTCAATCAGAGGTCCAAGTCAAAAGTTATGCATGTTGGGGAGTTGTCATGATAGTTGCTGTCATATCTTTGGTCGTAGCCAATAGATTTTTGACTGCAGCCAAAGGACTTCTCGAGACCATTTGGCCATAACCAAGAGAGAATTGACTATAGCCAAAAACTTCACTGGAAGTGTTGGCCGCAACTTAATGTTCTCTGGTTGTGGCCAAGTATTCTTATTAAGCAAAAATGACTCTTTTTACCTCATTTTGACTTATTTTCAACTCTAATTATTTTTCATATTTTTCAAACACTTTTTACTTTAATTTATAATGGCTAAATGACATTTTTAACTCAATTTTGAGATTTAAGGATTCATGGGATCCCATCTCTACGGGGTTTTCTTACTTAGCCTTTTCGAGTTTTTATATAGCTAAGATCGATCCTTTTCTTTTCATAACATCTTTTATTATTAAATTAGTTATAAATACCATGGTAGCTCTACCATAAAGTTAAGTATGTACTAATTATGTGTTTATCATTGGAAGTTTTACAGAAGGCATCGAAGGAAGACATCTTTACTGACTTTTCTCTTCCAAGAATGTTGAATGGGTGAGGGGCATTTTGGTTCATTTATCGCGTCCTTTTTTAAATATTGTAATAAGTTTGGTCCTTAACTTTCATGTGGTCCTTGAGTATAATTTCCTTCCTAACCTGCTCCTTTTTACCAATTCTCCCTTTTATATATTATTTTATATTTTAAAATTATTTTTAAAAATGTTTTTATTTTTAAATAACAACAATTAGGTGTGTTACTATGATATCAAAAAAATTAATTAAATATATAGTTTAAATTATAATAATTATTAAATTAATTATTTATAGCATAATAATAAATTATTAAATAAATTATATATAAATATATATTATAAATCATATAATAAAATTTAAAGCAATTTGCAACAGAATTATGACGGCGATTGAATTTTTCATCATAAATGCTATCACAAAATGAAAATAACATATTCTAAAATTTAGCGATGAACTTTTTCATTAAAAAATTTCATCGCTAAATTATTTTTTATAGCTTAATGACAGAATAGTAATGAAATTTTAGCCATGGAACATTTTGTCGCTAGATTTCATTGGTAAAATTATTTCTAATGATTTAATAATGGAATAGTGACTGATTTTTAGCAATGGGAGATAATTATATCAGTAAAGACGAAATTAGTGAATGATTAGAGACGAAAATTTATTTAGTAGCTAAATTCTATCACTAATTTGTTGTTTTTTTTAGTGTTCATTCTATAGGTTTTGTATATAAAAAGTTTATTGATATTGTAGTGTGGAAATATATGCAAGTGGCAAGAAAAGGATAGAAAAATAAAAAAATTACATACTCCATGGTCTCTATTATAATATACCTTTAATTATCTCACTAGAACCAAGTAAATGTAATTAAATTATTACTTTTATCTAAAAATATGGTAAACTTTCAATTTTACTTTTATTTAAATGAAAAATTCTAAATTTACATTACATTCTTTTTCATTTAAATATTAGAAAAGCATACTCAGTACAGCTTCAAATACTCTACATTAAGAATTAAAAAAAATTAGAAGGCACTTTATGATAAGAACATCAGAAATAATTCAAACCCAATGGGTCGGGTCTCTCTATCGTAGCAAGAATTTATATTTCCAACAGGCACGAAGAGTTGTTCAAAAAAAAAAGGCACAAGAGAGAAATTTTTTTTTATTTCTATATAATTGGGAGAAGTTGGAAAAATGTGGGCCTAGTGACAAATTAATGAATAATGGATATGGAACCTCAAATAATTATAGTGAGACCTTTGTGTGTTGAAATTTCATCTCAATGATCCCATTATGATCAAGGCCTTTAACATCCTTGTTTCATGGTTGGCTATTTAGGACATCTATTGTTTAAGGTTTCTCAAAGTTTTGATTATATAACCATGCTCGTTGGCACCATGACATGTTAGGATTTTATTTGGAAACACCTTGTGGAATAAAAGCCTAATACACAATTTATATAAACACTTCTTTTGTTAGCAGTAGCAATGTAAAATTTATTCTGAGTCGTGTTCAAGGATACTGTCCTTAAGAGCAATTCCGGCACAATTGTTGGAGCTCCCCAGAATTAAGCGGAACCCTCCTGTAAAATTGAACAAGGTTACAGAACAATAGAAATAATTCAAAGAGAAAATTAAACTCAAGAAGCAAGACACATGAGAGGAAGAGAAGTGCCCAAGAACTCAAAATGCTTAGCATCAATCTCATGCACACACTTTGCTATATATATAGCCACGCATTGAATAAAAACATTTGAAGCACCGTTGTTAAAATAAATCACCATCACTTCACAATAAAATATCTTTTCACCAGCACCATTATTAAATAAATAAATTATCATCATCCCATTACTTTATTCCACCGTTTTGACACAATAAAATGTCATTGATGAATGACGTTTCTGGACGTTGGAGAAAAAGACTTCATTTGGCCATTAAAATATTAAAAAGGGATAAAGCCACCTTTTCAACCAAAGAAAATCAGCTTCAACCATTAAGAAATATAAGGTGCAATTAATGTCAAATAAAGCCACAGTTTGA